GTCTTGATCTATAACAATGTGCATGGCTTGTTAATGAGAAAATTCTTTGGAGTAAGTCATTCTTACCATGTTGTTATACTCATACATTTTCTTGCTAGTAACTCTAGTGCATAATGTGTTGCTTGGGCTGCACATTCTCCTAAGACAGTACCCACGCTGACTGCCAACTCCAGTTCGTTTCCACGAATCAGGTATGCCATGGCAAGCTTGCTCAATAAGAAAATCATATCATTAAGCATTAGAAGCACTTCAAGGATTCAATGATACCAGCATGTCAACATTTATTTTCAAAGGCTACGTTAAGGTGCAACAGAAATGTGCATTATGGAATCAGACTCAAAGGGAATGTCTGTACATCAGAAAAAGCTATGATCTGTCTTAAATAGTTTCTCACTAACACCATGAATTGCACGGAAGACCTACCAACCAAAACATAGGTTGACTTCTCCATTTTGGTGTGTTTCTTTACTTCCCCCTTTCCTAGTTCCAAATTTAGGATTTACAAGTGTGAAAATAAACCAGGAATAAGCTATGTAGAAATCTGGACATCATGACAAGCTATGCTTTAAACAAGCCAGAGTTTGTAACAAGGAATCACGGATACAGATTGCAGCTTGTTGTTGGGCTGCTTAATAACTCACAACATGCTAGGAGAGATAGGTTTGCAAAACATGACAAAACATGATGTGTTCTCTAAAAATGTGACTTCTTGTGATTTATGAATTCAGCTCTGTTAATAAGCAATAACACAATGTAACAAAATTTGAAAAAAATATGTTCCTAGTTTGAAAGTGTTATTTCCTGTTTAATTGTACAGTACTTAATTTGAAAGTAGTTGTTATACTCTAAAAACTTTGTTTTTATGGCTGTCACAAACTGTGTTAGATTGGTTGAGACTCTTATGAGTTATTCATTGAAAAAACTATAGCAAAATGTGCTGCAAAAACAAAGTTTTGGCAGTTCAATACACTTTTTCCATGTTTTTATGACAGAGCCAATTAAGAAATAACATTTATAACACAGGAACAAAAATAGTATAATCTGATATTTGTGGTCAATGAGGCCCCTCTCCACTGTCATATAATGCAGATGATCAAAGCAGATATTTCACATTATCTGCTTTGATCTGGATTATATGAGTCTACACTGCCATATAATCCAGTTCAAAGCGGAAAATCTGGATTATTTAAGACAATTTGCAACCCACAAAAATAATGGGGAGGGAGATACTGAGTTTCTGGAAACATCAGAGTGAAATGGGAAGTTTATTTCATAATGTGACTTAAGATAAAAAGGCAGGATTTAATATTTATTCCAAACAGCAATAGAAAAAATCCTGAGTTTTTAAAGATGGCAAATTGATTGTAACACATGCTACTTACTCTAGAATGGATAGTTACTTCATTTCTATTTCTTTAACATATAAAGATTATAAAGCAGATCCACTCATTTATAGAAATCTGAGCGTCCTGCTTTTATCTGCAGTCTTGGAAATATTGACTGCTTGCAAGTTCTGGTATCCACCATAAGTAGATCCATAAATGTCTTTTCCTCTCTGGGGAGGGCTTCTAAAAAGAGAGCCAGCCATAAGGGTACAACATTTATTTCCACACTCTGTTCATTTGTTGTTTTGTTTTGTTTTGTTTTGTTTTGCAGCCTCACCTATACTTCTTCACATTCAGGATATTCCAAAATGGTAAACTATTTTATTTTTACAAAATCTATATAAGGTATTTACCTCAATATTTTCAACAGCCAAATGGCAACAAGCAGCCAGCACTGCGTAGCCATCTTGAAAATACGACTCAGCAAGTTCTTTACTGACCTTATGTAGGATCCTATAAAGAAATAAGTTTTGAATGATGACGGAAGCTATTAATTAATAACATTTTGAATAATTTAATGTAGAGAACAGTCTTAGACAAAATTTTGTGGACCTATCAAGAGTGGATACCCAGTTTCCTTATGATGTTCTTGTTATATGGCTCCCAGTTTCTGCTAAATCCGTAGCACAACATAGTTTATGAATGGCAGAAGAATGCCCATTTCTCATCTCTCTTCCTTCTGATGGAAGGATTGAGGCAGTCAACATCTATCCAACATGAGGTTCATACCAAATAGAATCAAATAATCATAAAGTTGAAAGAGGATTCGTGGGCCATCCAGTCCAACCCCCTACCAAGAAGCAGGAAAATTGCATTCAAAGCACCCCCGACAGATGGCCATCCTCTGTTTAAAAAGACTCCAAAAAAGGAGCCTCCACCACACTCCAGGGTGGAGAGTTCCACTGCTGAACAGCTCTCACAGTCAGGAAGTTCTTCCTCATGTTCAGGTGGAATCTCCTTTCCTGTAGTTTGAAGCCACTGCTCCACGTCCTAGTCTCCAGGGCAGCAGAAAACAAGCTTGCTCCCTCCTCCTTATGACTTCCCCTCACATATTTATACATGTCTCCTCTCAACTTTCTCTTCTGCAGGCGAAACATGCCCAATTCTTTAAGCAGCTCCTTATAGGACTTGTTCTCCAAACCCTATAATACAAGGGACTGATCATATCATCTTCATCATTTTAGTCACCCTACTCTGGACACATTCCAGCTTGTCAACATCTCCCTTCAATTGTAGTGTCCAGATTGGACACAGTATTCCAGATGCGGTCTGACCAATGCAGGATAGAGGAGTAGCATGCCTTCCCTGGATCTAAACACTATACTCCTATCGATGTAGGCCAAAATCCCTTTTTTTGCTGCCACATGACATTGTTGGCTCATGTTTAACTTTTTGTCCATGAGGACTCCAAGATCTTTTTCACACGTACTGCCCTCGAGCCACATGTCCCCCATTCTATATATCTGCATTTCATTTTTCTGTCTAAGTGGAGTATCTTGCATTTGTCACTATTGAACTTCATTTTGTTAATTTTGGTCCATCTCTATAATCGGTTAAGATCGTTATGAATTCTGCTCCTGTCTTTTGGAGTATTGGCTATCTCTCCCAATTTGGTGTTGCCTGTAAATGTGATGGTCATACCTTCTAACCCTTCATCTAAGTCATTAATAAAGATGTTGAACATAACCGGGCCCAGGACAGAACCTTGCAGCACTCCACTCATCATTTCTTTCCAGGATGAAGAGGAAGCATTGGGGAGCACCCTGTCAACTCTTGATTCAAATGATTTTGGAACTTGCCATTCATTTCCTCTGTTCCATTGCAAGCCCTACACCTACAAACAATAAAGGTGCATTGATTTTTACTATGGGAATCCAGGAGAATCTGTGCTGTTAGTACTAGCAGTTCTGTGAACCTGCTTTGAGAGTTGTTCCATTCGGGCTATATATAAACTAAATTGCTTGTGTTGTTTTCAAACAGTATCTCACTTGAATCATTCCCTTGATTCCCTTCCCTTTTTAATTGGAGGCTCCGCTCTCTTCATTTATGTTAAGCACTCAATAAAAAAATCAATCCCTGCATCTCACTCCATCTTGACAATAGGTTTTAATCAAAGGGAGATAAGAAGAAACAGCTTGTAGGTCTGGGATTTGGCTCACTGGCTCTTCATCCCCAAACAATTTGGAGATTGTGGGAACTCTCTTCTCACATTTTATGCAGTATTGACTAACAATAACAAATGAAATTGTTAGAAGCCATATTACTTTTTTATTCCTCTAATGACTTTTGCAGTTCAAAAAAAAATCTCACTTATACAGGAAATAGAACTGTCTAGCGGTTAAGTCTGTTTTCCTAAATACCTTACAGACATTAGATCCTATCTGATCTTGGAAGCTAAGCAGAATCAGCCTTGATTAGTAGTTGAATAAAGACCACCAAGGAATACAGGTGCTGGAGGCCACATTTCAGAGGAAGAAACTAGCAAACCCATCTCTGAATATTCCTTGCTTAAGAAAACACAATGAAATTCATTGAGTTACCATAAGTCTACAGGCAACTCATAGAAACAACCACATAATTAACATTATGTAACAATTTTTTAAAAAAAAATCTGTTCCTGGTTTGAAAATATTATTTCCTGTTTAACTATATGGTACTTACTTTGAAAGTTGTTATACTCAAGAATCTTTGTTTTTGTGGATGCCACAAACTATGTTAAATTAGTTGAGACTCTATGAGATATTCATTGAGAAACTATAGTAAAATATGCTACTTTTCCCATGTTTTTATGACAAAACAAATTAGGAAATGATTTATAACCCAGGAACAAAAATTGTGTTACATAGAGTAATCGAACTGAGATTGTTGCGGGCTCTCTGTGGTCCGTACTAATTCATGTAACCTGCAAAGTTGCAAAAACTTTTGAAGTCCAAAAGAAGATATATTTACGTGAAGAGAACTAGCTGTTTTGTGTATGTGCAATATTTAAATTAGGCAGAACTTGCAAAAATGCAAAAGAGCAGCTTTTAAGTTTCAGCAGAAAGCATCACACTTCATTTCAAAATAACCATGAACGCCACTACACTAATTTTTCAATTTATGAAAACAGACATATAATCTTTCAGCATGACTCACTCATTGTAATCTTCCATGGTGCTTCCTTCAAAATGTGCTGAACCATTCAGTGCAGAACACTGGAACATTTGCATATTTCCTTCACATGCTGCCTATAAATATTAAAAGAACATCAACCCAAAGCAACATAGTCTATACTTCCTCCTACCATATTTACTAAAGGAAGGGAGGCTTAAAACAGGGCTTAAATGACATAAGGGCACCAGATCCCATCTGATCTTACAATACAAGCAGGGTTAGTTGTGGTTAGTACTTGGATTGAAAATCACGAATATTAGGTGCTATAGGCTGATTTTCAGAAGGAACCGGCAAAACCATTTCAACAGTCCTGATTGTAAAACACTTTAAAATTCATGAAGGCACATACATACATATTGTATATATAAGCCAAGTTTTTCATCCCTTATTTTAGGCAGAAAAAGGCCCCCTTGACTTATACTTAAGTCAAAGTTATCTATTATTTTACTCTAATTATTATTATTATTATTATTATTATTATTATTATTATTATTATTAATTACATTATTTTACTCTATATTATTATTACATGTATTATTTTACTCTATTATTATTATTATTATTATTACATTGATCATTTTAGTCTATTTATAATTATGATGTCTATTATTTTAACTCTGTTTATTACTGTTATTATTACATTTACATTATTTTACTCTATTATTATTATTATTATTATTATTAGTTAAGGTAATGATTTCCCCTTGACATCAAGTCTAGTTAATGGGGGGTGGTGCTTATAATAACTTAGAGGCTTATCAGGGCAGGGGGGTCAAAGAAATCAATCCCACCGCTGCCACCAATTATAATAACTTAGAAAGATATCTGGGCAGGGTGGAACAAAGAAATCCCACCACTGTCCCTCCTTCAATAAGGAATTCACACCACTTTGGTTCTTATAGTGTTTGAGGGGATGTCACGTTATGTAAAACCTTCGCTGCCACCATAAACTGAAAAAAATCACGAACCCTCTAGCTATTTAAAATGTTAACAGGCTGTTTAAATTAATAAAAGGCTTTTTACTCCACCAAATGCTGTGTATTATCAAGGGCTTTCTTTGGAGGGGGGAACAGGAGAGGTTGATTCAACACGGAAAATGACTCCAACCAAAAATGGCACTTGACTCAGGCTTAAATCTTAAAAATAACAAGAAAGAGTTTATTGATTACAAGTTACAGCATTAAAAGTGAATGCAGGTTCAGAGGCTTGGCTGTTACAAATAAAAGTGTTCTTGTTTCTTAGAAGCGTAATGGTTACTTGAGAGAATGGTTCTTTCCTTTGTTACAATTTCTTAAACACAAAACCCAGCTATTTTCTTTTCTAAAATAGCTGTAACTCAGTCTGCCACAGCCTACTGTGCTGTGCAAACTTCAGGCAAGCTGCCTATTCTTAACAGAGACTCCTAAAAAATCCAAATCCTACTCTAACCTCTCTCAGAACTGAACTGCTCTCTACTCTACTCAGAACTGAACTCTACTGAACTGTCAAAATTATCTGTTCTCTTTCCCTCCATCTGGCTAACTCCGCCCCCCTTTTCCAAACCAATCCTGGCTGTTGCTGGGCTGGCTCAGGCCTAGGCCACTCCCCCTCTCTGAACTGGAGCTTTCCCTAAACTAAGATGGCTCCAGCAGCTCTCTGCCAGGCCTTCTAAGCTGAAACTACCTAGCCTGCCTCTTCCTGGGCCCTGCCACCCTGGCTGGCAAGGTAAGGGATCTTCACAGTGCTCATCTCCATTTCTATGCCAAAGAAGTGACGTTGTCCGTAGACGCCTCCTAAGTCATGTGGCTGACATGATTGCACGGAGCAACGTTACCTTACCGCAGAAGGTAACATGCAAATCTACTCACATTTGCATGTTTTTGAACTGCTAGGTTGGCAGAAGCTGGGGTTAACAGTGGGAACTGTCCCCACTCCCCGGATTCAAACCGATGACCTTTTTGTCAGAAAGTTCAGCAGCTCAGTGGTTTAACCCGCTGCACCATCGAAGGTTCCTTATTTTTATTACTTTTATTATTTTTCTCTGGTTATCATAATTATTACATTTTTTATTTTACTCTATTATTGTTGTTACTATTACATTTCCATTATTTTATTCTATTATTATTTTATTACATTTATTATTCAACTCTATTATTATTGGAAGGATACGTAAGCACATTTACATTGAAGAAGGTTACAATAACGGTTTAATCAGAGGTGGACAGTCTGATCTGGCCACGGTGGTCCACGCTCTTGTCACATCCCGTTGGATTACTGCAACGCACTCTACGTGGGGTTGCCTTTGAAGACTGCTCGGAAACTTCAACTAGTCCAGCGAGAAGCAGCCAGATTACTCACTGGAGCGGCATACAGGGAGCATACCACCCCTCTGTTACGCCAGCTCCACTGGCTGCCGATCCAATTCCGAGCACAATTCAAAGTGCTGGTTTTGACCTACAAAACCCTATACGGTTCCGGCCCAGTGTATTTGTCCGAACGGATCTCCCTCTACATCCCATCTCGAAGTTTAAGATCTTCTGGGGAGGCCCTGCTCTCGACCCCGCCACTGTCACAAGTGAGGTTGGCGGGGACGAGGAGCAGGGCCTTCTCAGTGGTGGCCCCCCACCTGTGGAACTCACTCCCCGGGGAGATTAGATCGGCGACTTCCCTTCTGGCGTTTAGGAAAAAAACTGAAGACCTGGGTGTGGGACCAAGCCTTTGGTCATTCTGACAACTAACTTAAGGATCTGATGATAGACAAGGACAAATGGAATGGAATGGATATATGGACTCGGAACCCTGAGCATGAGATTGTTTTATTATTTTAATATGTATTGATGTTTTAATTTAATTTGTTGAACTGTTTTTGTTTTGTTTTGTATTTTGTATTGCTTGTCAATTGATTTGGGCATCTAATTGTGCCTCCTCTGTAAGCCGCCCTGAGTCCCCCCCCCCCCGGGGTGAGAAGGGCGGGGTATAAGTAAGTGAAATAAATAAATAAATAAATAATCTTAAATTACAGTTTCATGTAAATATTCCAAAACATTTAGCCTACTGATACCTCCATTAATGTAATTTTATTGGTATCTTTTATTTTGAAATTTACTCATAGCTTCAGCATTTCCCTCCCTCGGCTTATACTCGAGTCAATACCTTTTCCCACCTTTTTGTGGTAAAATTAAGTGCCTTGGCTTATATTCGGGTTGGCTTATACTCGAGTACATACGGTAGTTAAAAACATCAAACCTAAATTTACTTTAAGACTTAAATTTGAAGCAGCCACACTAGTGTAGCAGAAAACAGGGTCAGTATCAATTTCAGCTTATTATTTCTATATGTATTGATGCATATAAAAATATATATTGAATTATTGCCAATTTGGAAGCCACTCTGAATCCCCTTCGGGGTTGAGATAGAGCAGGGTGAAAATACAGGAAATAAATAAATAAAGCTGTAAGTGGACAAAATTTATCAAATTTAGATATATAAAATTTAATAATACAAAGATGTTCAAGATTTTTCTGCCCTTGATTAAAAGAAAAGAAGGCTAGTTAGGCCAGGAATTTCCAGCATTACCACTAGCCAAATATTTCCAGAGCTCTTTTCCATTTTTCCCAGATAGGAGACAGAGATATGAACAAAGCAAAGAACAAATTATTTACCTCTCAGTGAGGAAGAATGTGCAGAATAACCAAGCACTTAAAACATTAATAGTGAGTTTTTAAAAGTTTTATTCTAAAATGCAGAGAATTAAATCAGATTCATGGGCAACAAATCCCAGATCATTCTTCTCTAAGAAGTAGCTTTAGAACTTACAACATCAGAAGAAATAAGTCAAATTGCTCAGGGAACTTTAAGAAGTTTGTGCTAAAATATATCAGTTAATATTCAAACTTCTGCTAGGTTCTTCTGCCCCTTGCCATCTACACCCCCTTTTTGATAAATTGCTTTTACTACATTGTAAAATGCACCATTATTTACAAATGAATAATAAGCACATACAATGGTACCTGTGCAACTAGAAGAGCTTCTTGAAGTTGTCCTCTTGAAGTAAAAAATGTGACAAGTTTCTTCACATCACCAGTTGCTATGCAGTAGGGAATAACATCATCATTTTCTTCTTGAATTAACTGATCAGCCCTCCTAATCAAAATTAAAACAAATATATATATCTTAGCTATTTAGTTTCACTGCAATTATGTTTCCATATCATGTCCAACCATATTCAACATTCATAAAGCCAGTTACAATAAACCGGCTTCCTGATTCATAGAAATCTCCCTCCAAACAATGTTGTTGTTGGTTGTTGTTGTTTTTTTTTGGGAGGGGGAGGGTAGGACAAATTTAATACCACATTGTCATGCCAGAGGTATTTGCATAAATGGAAATAAAATGCAGAGTCTAATAAAATAAAAGGTAAAGGTAAAGATTTCCCCTAACATTAAGTCTTGTCATGTCCAACTCTGGGGGGTGGTGCTAATCTCCATTTCTAAGCCAAAGAGCCGGAACTGTCTATAGACACCTCCAAGGTCATGTGGCCGGCATGACTGTATGGAGTGTTGCTACCTTCCCGCAGAAGCAGTACCTATTGATTTACTCACATTTGTATGTTTTCAGACTGATAGGTTGGCAGAAACTGGGCCTAACAGCGGGAGCTCATTCCGCTCCCCAGATTTGAACCACCAACCTTTCGGTCAGTAAATTCAGGGCCTGGGGACGATTATTTATTTATTTATTTATTTACTATGCTTCTCTACCACCATTCTCAGCCCGAGGGCGACTCATGGTGGTTTACAAAATGGCACAATTCGATGCCCACAACAGTACAAAAATAATTTAAACATTAAAAACATTTAACACAGGTAAAAAATTCATTACAATTAACATCAGTAACACAATCATTCTCAAAAACCTTCTGGAACATCCAGAAAACCTATTGAAATCCACGAGCATGTGGACAATTTCATCAGAAAGGAGGAAACCATGAAAATGAACAAAATCTGACTACCATTATAAAAAAAACCCCTCCAAAATCAGGACAATAAATAAAGAAGAACACTAAAAAAAAGGGAATTCCAGACAGGAATAAATCGGGGCCAGCTAATACCTCTCAACAAAGGATTCCCCCAGGCAGTATGCAGCTAGGCTTTGAAGCTTCAAGGCCATTCATTGCTAATCAAGGTAGCCAACTGCAATATTCACACTTGCCTCAAACAGACAAGAGATCTTTCTCCCACCGTGGACATGGCACAGATATATAAACTTCACTTGCCTAGCTTCTAACAGACCTCACAACCTCTGAGGATGCCTGCCATAGATGTGGGCAAAATGTCAGGAGACAATGTTTCTGGAACGTGGCCATACAGCCTGGAAAACTCACAGCAACCCAGTGGTTCTGGCCATGAAAGCCTTTGACAACACATAGGACAGAATTGCTTTCCACCTTACCTCTGCATTAACTTCTTCCAGTATGTCATAGATAC